TTATGTTCTCTAGGCTGGGTTGAATTGTTTTATGTATCACTGGATGACGAGTTGCCAATTTAGCAATTTCATCAGCTTTTTCATTTAATGGGATTCCAATATGGGATGGGATCCAGTTTAAAGTTATGTTGAGTCCTTTGCCTTTAGCGACTGCTCCTTGATACAAAATGGTGGTAATTATATCCACATTATCTTTCCACTGTTTTTGTCCTAGTATTTGAAGTGCAGCTTTTGAGTCTGTGTGTATGATTGCATTTTGAGTGTTTTGTGCAATCACATATGCGAATGCCTGTTGTATGGCGAACAGCTCAGTTTGGGTTGATGATACTAGTCCTCCCAGTCTCCAATATGCCTGAACGCTGGTCGTGCAAAGAGCAGCGCCAGCACTCTCATTTTCTGTGTCCACCGATCCGTCTGTGAAGATGTGGGTGGCTCCTGCTACTGCTATTTAAACAGCTTTCATTTTTCATTTTATACCCGCATTTTGGGTGAGGTGATATGTTACAACAGCTTTTGGATGAGGTGAACAAAATTTTCAACACAGGATAGAACACGAAACAATGGGTATTGAAGGTAAGAATGGAAGTAATTGGAGAGGGCCTATTGGCTCATATTTCTTGATGCTTCTATATTGCAGCGGAGTCTTGAAGTGGGTAGAATACTTCGCTCCAATATAGAAGCATCAAGAAATATGGGCCAATAGGCCCTCTGCAATTACTTCCATCCTTACCTTCAATACCCATTGTTTCGTGTTCTTCCCTGTGTTGAAAGTTTTGTTCACCTCATCCAAAAGCTGTTGTAACATATCACCTCACCCAAAATGCGAGTATAAAATGAAAAATGAAAGCTGTTTAAATCATAACATAAGTAAGAACTCTGTTTAGTGTTTGCAGGTAATAGTTGTGTGTGTGTAAACTAAAAGTCTTTGAAAATGTAATAAGTTATTACGAAACGCGTTCAAGTGTCGCGTCAGACTAGAAATAAAAATGAATTTTGGAGAATTGATTTTTCAATTATCATCAACAGTGAAAAGAAACATAAGAAAGATCGAGAAAATTCGTGTTAGAATTATTAATCTTACTTTTTCGGTCATATTTAATAATATATGTCTACAGGAAAGACTGCTACCAATATATATATATATATATATATATATATATATATATATATATATATATATATATATATATATATATATATATATATATATATATATATATATATATATATATATTTATATAAAACTTTCCGTATCAGCCACATATGTATTGTCTTATGTATTGGCGAAGGGTGGCTAGTTAAGGTAGCACTGGGTAGATTAGATAGTGGGGAAGTGGGTTTTCTTATGTGTTAGAGAAACTATCATTTAAGCTATGTAGGCACCATTGTACAAAGATTGCCGTTCTAAGCAATTAGATAGTAGAACTTTGTACTATTCACTTTATAGGGTCGGAAAAAATTAAGCTATAAAACAAACAAATATTCCTAGGCCTAGTATAGCACACATGTGTACTATATTAGGCCTCAGATATCGTGTATTTGGCCTAGGAAGGTTAGGTTAGGTTAGGTTAGTTTGTCTTTGAAACATAAGTAGAAAGTAGTTTTCCAGTTTGTCCAACTCAATAGTGCCGATTTCTACTTTCTAAGTACTTCGTCATCGTTGTACGTCGGTATGACCTCAGCAAAACTACAGCGCTGTTTTTTTTCTTTACTGTTTGTCGGTCCTCAATTAGTATTAAGCTTGTCATTTAAGTTTATCATGCCAGAAACGCTTTGCGTAATAGTGGCTTTACTATGTACTAGTACTACCTTGAAAAAATTTATTGTAAAACAGGAGGATGGGCTGATTAAAATCTCAACACCTTTAATTTACCTGTCAGCTTTACATGACAGGTAAATAGTATTTGTGAGTGTGTGTACTCACCTAATTGAACTCACCTAACTGTGCTTGCGGGGGTTGAGCTCTGGCTTTTTGGTCCCGCCTCTCAATTGTCGATCAACTGATGTACAGATTTCTGAGCCTACTGGGCTCTATCATATCTACATTTGAAACTGTGTATGGAGTCACAGTGTGTGTGTGTGTGTGTGTGTGTGTGTGTGTGGACGGGGGGGGGTGACAGGGGGGGTAGGGGTATTTTTGAGCGGGCTCTAAGCCTCTGGCTGGCCCACTATGTGCTACTTGTTTCTTCTTTCTGTCTAACTTAGGCGGTGGATGAGTATTTATGACTCGCATGTTGGCTTCACAAAGGTTGTGCCTAATATGTTTCACAACTTCTGCCTTGATAAATCTAAGTTGAAATCTTATTGGGTTTGTAACTGTGCACTGTGTTAGATAATGTTCCAGCGGTCTGTAGTGGTTGTAACTGTGCACTGTGTTAGATAATGTGCCAGCAGTCTGTCGGGCATTTCTCCCCAGTGCTGATATTTCCTCTCATCATCTGGAACCTGTAAACTTATTTCCCATGCACGTAGGTATACTAGCCTGAAGTGGTATATATATATGCAGATTTGTCATCGACTAATTATTGCTAGTCTGAGTCCATAACGATCTTATATTGTTGAGATCGATTGCATAATACATGATCTCAACAAACCTACAAGGAAGCTGTATATTTGAGAAATATTCCAAGTAAACAACTGATCTAATTCAATATATTAGACCAGGTGTCATGGCAACGTAGCCAAGTAATGAGTGTTTGTGTTTGAAGTCAGCCCCGAGTGAGTTAAAATTGAGCAACTTATGGGTTTTCTCCAGAGCAGGTGGGTAGGGCAGGCACACTGTCCTCTTGAGGGGGAGAGAGGCGTGCCCTGGTGTAGGTGGGTAGGGCAGGCACACAGGCCCTCCTGAGGGAGAGAGGAGCGTGCCCTGGTGTAGGTGGGTAGGGCAGGCACACAGGCCCTCCTGAGGGAGAGAGGAGCGTGCCCTGGTGTAGGTGGGTAAGGCAGGCTCACAGGTCCTCCTGAGGGAGGGAGAGGAGCGTGCCCTGGTGTAGGTGGGTAGAGCAGGCTCACAGGTCCTCCTGAGGGAGGGAGAGGAGCGTGCCCTGGTGTAGGTGGGTAGAGCAGGCTCACAGGTCCTCCTGAGGGAGGGAGAGGAGCGTGCCCTGGTGAAGGAGTAAATAAACAACCCAAGATCCTACCAGGAAGATCCCTATAAGACCATCTTGACACGTTAACCCTAAAAGTTACATAACAAACAATATAATATGAACACGCGTGTGTGTGTGTGTGTTAATAATGACATATTGCCCACGGGAGACGGACTGGGGAAGGAGCCACAACCGGCCCTCAACCACCGCCTCAAGAGACGGACTTGGGGAAGGAGCCACAACCGGCCCTCAACCACCGCCTCAAGAGACGGACTGGGGAAGGAGCCACAACCGACCCTCAACCACCGCCTCAAGAATGAAAGGCGACAACAACTGGAGGCAACACTCCGGCAGGCATCTTGGTATTCAAAATAACAACCTTCGGTGAGCAACACAATATCTTGGAGCGCGGATACATTTCAAAATGACGTTCCATAATCTAGTTCAATATCTGAAGAAATACAACAAAATCCCAACTACACATAACGAGAGCAATCACAGGAGCCCCGTCTAGGAACAGGACACGAAGGGTTAAGAATGTTTTACATACAACAAGGAGCAACGGTTCCATATCCATCAAGCCTGTTACGGCCCTCTCGGGACGCAACGGGGTTCTCACTCTGATGTTGTTAGAGTCAGATATATATATATCCGTTCCCAAGCCAGTAGTGGCTATCAAGGGATGAGATCCGTGACGCAAGTAACTTAAAGGGAGTAGGGAAAGAAAGCTAAGAACTTAATATTATAATTTTCACCATCACCGATTAAATATATAAAATAAAAGAGTGCTCAAGGGGGAGGGATATTAACACTTGACAAGGGGATTCTTCACAATGTAGTCTTCTGCTGAAGACTCTGGATCAAGAAGCTAAGCGCTGAGTCCTTGGTGCTTTCTTCGTGGCCACACAACGAATTCTTCAAAGAAGCTGAGCCTACCCTGGCCACAGGTCAGCCAAAACACATGTCCACTGGGGGCACCGCCGTGGAGGCCGTCAACCACACGTCCAGCTGGTCTGCTGGCAGGTTCTGAGCCAACAAGGCTGGTACGGCCACTCCACGAACGATAAAAGGGGAACGCCCTAGACAGGAGCCTCGTGTGACACCACAAATCACTCTCCTGTCTTCAGTACCCCAGTGGATGATCGTCTCCAACAATCGGTCCCGGGTAAATCCTTTTACTGCCACTCCACTGGCCGGCTAACACACCACAGTGTTCTTCCGGGGGGACGACGTCACTACAGAAACAGCAAAGTTCAAGGTATGGAGACTGGCTGCCTCGGGTAGACTGACTCCACTTCCATCACAGCAGTCCCAGGTCGGCTCTGTAAGCAGACACGTCATCAATAACTGGGACACTAAAACACCTCACTTACGGGCTCGGGCACAAACACCTGACGTATCCAGTCCATAGATGGCGCTGTCGTCGGAGCACCACCTCACCAGAGGTCAGTGGCGGCGGTGTAGAGTGCTGAACGGGACTGGAAACTGGCCCTCGTAGCTGATAAACGGCATCCTCACCAGGTGTCGTCGTCGTTTGGCGGGGGGTTTCGGGAGCTGACCCACAGATGGCGGGGTCGTTACTACTCCGTGCTCGGACGCTGGATCCGGGTTCGTAACAAAGCCACAATGTAGCACTAAGAACAGGCGTTACTTTTTCACCCACAGAGCAATAAAGCACTGGAACCGCCTACCCACCGAGGCTGTAAATGCCAGAACTCTGTTAAATTTTAAAATCCAACTGGAAACGTTCATTAGGGCAAAGTAGAGAGGGGGGGAGGGGGGGGTAACTTTGACAAGCCGCCGGCTTCCTGTCCCCGCCGAGGCTACTAGTGTTACTGGCCCTCAGGTAAATTCAGGTAATTCACGTAATACATGCCATTCGCCCACCAGTTGATTATACAGCGTCTACCTTTAAGGGGTCATCTAGATGGAAATTGAAAGTTGTTGTAGGGCATTGAAAATTTATTATCCTGATACATGTGAAAGGTGCTGCAACTGGGCCAAGTTTCAGCATCGCAGCCTAAATAGAGAGGGAGAAAAAAAATAAAAAAGTTTTTTTTAGACAATTTTTCAACAATGTTCAAATCATTTCACAGGCCACAATTGTGAACCGAAATCAATTCTATGAAACTTAGCTATGACCTTACTATATAATAAAGATTTGTGTGGTGGATTTTTATCCCAGATGTATTTAGTGCAATAATACAGATTTTGTAAATTTCCCAAAAATCCTATGCACTAATATGATATTTATAAATATTTATAAAATCAATAAATCTACGTAGAAAGAAAAGCCACCACAATGTTTTAGAGGCATAAACTTTACATATAATGTGCAAGTTTCATGTAAATTGAATAATAAATAAAGTCTGTGAAATCAGATAAAATTGTAAAATATTAACCTGCACAAACGGAGGTTAAAGTTCAGCCACCTTTAGCTGAGGTTGATGTTGACCGATATCATTCAAAATTTGCACCCTTGTAGATAGGCATGGGTTCAGTAAGGTGTGCAAGTTCCATGCAGATCGCCTGATAAATAAAAAAAAAAAAAAAAAAAAAAAAATAATAACAACAATATATATATATATATATATATATATATATATATATATATATATATATATATATATATATATATATATATATATATATATATATATATATATATATATACATATATATTTGCTACCAGTTTTATATGTACAAATATATATGAAGTAATATCACAATATAACACTAAAACATACTAACCTAATATAATTGGTCAGTAATATGGGTCCTCAAGGTGGCACTGGAGTGGCACTAGTAGGCACCTGCGCCATAGCCGGGGTCAGCTCCCTCAGGGGCCTTTCTTGGTTTGGTTGTGGGTCTCATTGGTCTCTGCATATCCTTGTCCTTTTTGTTCAAGTACCAGTCCCGTACGTCACTTTGTGGTAGACCGAGGAGGTTGTTCAGTGATCCCATCACATACCCAGCGTTATAGTTGACAGCTGTCATTGCCATGGCAAATTCTACCATTACACGACTGCAACAGCACTTGAGGTGCTGGGCCCTGCAACATCAAGAGCGAGAACGTCTGGAGTAGCAGGTGGAACGTCTGGAGTAGCAGGTGGAACGTCTGGAGTAGCAGGTGGAACGTCTGGAGTAGCAGGTGGAACGTCTGGAGTAGCAGGTGGAAGACCTGGAGTAGCAGGTGGAAGACCTGGAGTAGCAGGTGGAACGTCTGGAGTAGCAGGTGTAAGACCTGGAGTAGAAGGTGGAGAATGTGCGGTGGCAGAGGGTGGGATTGTGGGGGGGGGGGGATAGCGGTCTGCAACAAGTTCCTCACACTCGCGGCTGAGAGGCCTCCACGATCTTCACTCGTCAAAGTGCGTAATCCATGGATTCTAGCCAGCTCGCACCTTCTACGGGCAGCTAGCATGCTTTTAGCTTTCAGAGTTTTCCTCATCTTCGTTTTGTACGTCATTTTGCAGTAAAAATAGCACAAATACTGATAATTCTGGGAGATATTGTGAGCGCGCGTCCACGATAGATCCGCTAGCTATCGGACACAGAGAGTGACTGACTTATGTTAGCAATCCCATCCCTCCCTCACTCGCGACTGTGGCCAATAAGTGAGTTTATATTTGTTTTATGCATCACACGTTATTTTCAACACTATTACGAAATATTAGACAGCTACAACGTAAGACGCAATACCCCACGGCGCACCCAGGCCGCGAGAACCGGAATGGGGAAACTTGCAGCGGGAATTTTGACTCTAATTACGTTATTTTTCAAGATAATATGAAACGGTTTTCACCACAGTGTTGCCAGAACGTTGTAGTATTTTTCAGAATTTTTTGTAAATTTTCGAAATTTTTCGGATTTCAGCAGAGAAATTAAAAATTCAAAGCAAAGGTTGGGGATATTCATCCCTGTGCAATGTGAGTCATAACTTGGACTGCCAGATGGACTAAAATACTAAACTTAAGCAGGCGATGAGTCACAATAACGTGGCTAAAATTTGTTGACCAGACCACACACTAGAAGGTGAAGGGACGACGACGTTTCGGTCCGTCCTGGACCGTTCTCAAGTCGATTGAAACGTCGTCGTCGTCCCTTCAGCTACTAAACGTAAGTTTAGTATTTTTGAAACTTTTGTTTGAAATAATTTTGAAATTATTTTTGACTTGAAACCAAACTAATAGCGATTGAAATAAGACTAGATAGGCTCGCTGTGTGCATCTTGACCAAGATATTGACTAATCCAGAAACAGTATCTTAGAGATATAATTAATGAAGCACTAACGCTGGACAGGAGAATCTCCACCAGCAACAGGTGGACAAGCTGAGAAGGAAGGAAGGAATTATCAAGGGAAAACGCCAAGCCATTACGACTATATAGCACTGGAAAGGGGTCAGGATAAGGATTTGGGATGGGACGGTGGAAGGAATGGTGCCCCAACCACTTGGACGGTCGGGGATTGAACGACGATCTGCATGAAGCGAGACCGTCGCTCTACCGTCCAGCCCAAGTGGTTGGGTGACAAGCTGAGCAGTAAACACCATCAATGCCTTTGAGATTACAGATACAATCACTGACAAAGATGTCAACGAAATGCAAGCAGATTACCGTGGGAATCGTTCTCAATAGACTTTAAGCTTATGCCTCTTCAAGAAAAAATGAACCGGACTAACTCCCGTCTGCTGTGTATTAATGCACAGATAAATATGACAGTAAGTTTGGTATCTGACAGCTTCACATATGTCACAGACGGATAAGTAGACCAAGATTGAGAGAGAGAGACAAGAATCTGGAGGTGCAGTTAGGGCAGGAACTGATATAACTAATTGGAGACGCTTAATCGGGTGCTCAACATGTTCTAAATCAGACAGGCTAGCCATTCAGAAATGCTTTAGAACACGCTCTTGCTGAACACCGACGGCACGTTATCATTCTTACAGATTCGAAAACTTCCATTGAAATCTTGCAACGAGAACACTAACGTGACAAAATGCAACTGACCGCAAATGTTTTGGCATTAACGCAAACATTCAAATGTCAAGGTCATCGAATTCTCATCAAATGGTACCAAACTATGTAGAAATATCAGGGTATGATATTGCCGATAAATCTGCAATTTTTTTGGTTAAAACGAGGAATGTAGACATTTACATACCAGAGAATGTAGCGCTACTGAGAAAACAATTAGAGTTAAAGCAATGCAGAATGTTGTTGTTGTTAAAGATTCGCTACTTGGAACAAAAAGCTCCAAGCAGCACGGGCTATGGTGAGCCCGTAGCAATGCAGAAGATGTCCAGTGAACTCAACAAAGCCGCCGTAACCTCTGGGTCGGCGGGGCGGTATATGAATTCACCCAACTATGAACTATGTTGATAGGGTGCACTACAACGGAGATACACACACACACACACACATACACACACACACACACACACACACACACACACACACACACACACACACACACACACACACACACACACACACACACACACACACACACACACACACACACACACACACACACACACGCACACACACACAATAGGCTCAGGAATCTGTGCACTAGTTGATTGACAGTTGAGATTCGGGACCAAAGAGCCAAAGCTCAATCCCCGCAAGGATAAATAGGTGAGTACACACACACACACACACACACACACACACACACACACACACACAAACACACACACACACACACACACACACACACACACACACACACACACACACACACACACATCTACCTGTTGATTTACGGTTGAGAGGCGGGACCTAAGAGCCAGAGCTCAACCCCCGCAAGCACAAATAGGTGAGTACATCGTTTCAGGCTTTCTCATCTGCATAGGAAATAGGCTTACAGCTAGCAGAAGAGAAAACATGGCGGGTTTGTTTACCAAACAGACCGCTGGATCAGTATTTAACGCAGGGCACAGTTACGACCTAAGTATGAATGCAACACATATTTAACAGCTCAGAAGTTGTAACACACACTGGAAATACTGACGGAAGCCAACAAAGGAGTCATAAGTCTCCCGCCTTAGTGTTAAAGAGCAACACATAGGGAACCAACCATAGCTTTATGCACCACGAATTTGACGTCCCTGAAAAAGTATGAAGTGTCATGTATAAAGCTCTCAGCTTTTGCGGCCTTTTATTTAGGTAATTTAAGCTCTTGCTTGACTCTCGAGCCTGGCCCCAAGCCTGGCCCCAAGCCTGGCCCCAAGCCTGGCCCCAAGCTTGGCCCTAAGCCTGGACCCAAGCCTGGCTCCAAGCCTGGCCCTAAGCTTGGCCCTAAGCCTGGCCCCAAGCCTGGCTCCAAGCCTGGCCCCAAGCAGGGCACTGTGGTTAGAAGAACTCTCAAAACCCGTCTCTCTAGGATTGTTTCGGGTCAATAATTGATGACGGAAATATAGCGTTAACCGGCCAATGGGTATCAACATGTCAGTTCCTTGCCAGGAAGCGTTCTGTTGCTGTCACTAAAGCAATATCCTCACTTCTGTCCGGATGACCGTCAACCAAACATGGCCACTGACGCCTCACACGAAGCACAAAAGTCCCCCACACAACAGCCTCGTACAAAACAATCATGTTCTTAGTTTACCTGAGAACCCACTGAAAACCAGCTATAAAGAATCCGCAAAATATGTATCTAAGAATCGGTCTCACTAAAAGATGACATTTAAAGAATGATAATGTGAGGTTTTCAAAGGATACAGCAATACACATTGAGACTAATGTTCCCATTTGGAACCGTGCCGGCGGGTCGCATATATTCCAAAGCCTAACTTTTTGGGGAAATTCTTTCCTTAAACTGACATATATTTTTCCCTGTCTGTCTCTCGGAGAGTTGATATAAGAGAGAGAGGAGACATCTGCAAGGATGCTGACCCCCCCAAGCTCTCAGCCTGCTGACAGGAGTCTGTTCCTGTACACACATGTGTAAACGAAAAAAAATAGCAGCCTACCTCCTAAAATGAAAGAACTTTGAGTAACTATTTGGTCGAGAGTACACTATATAGTGATGGTCCGCCAGAAACTTGATTTTTTTTGTATTGGATTTGGACAAACCAGAAACATTTTTTAGTAGCAACAAGACCTAACCTAATCTGGCAATTCTAGGCCTCATAAACACTGTTTTAGGCCTAATATATGTGCTATCCTAGGCATATATGTGCTATCCTAGGCATAGAAATATTTAATTTTGATTTTAAACTTTATTTTTCCGGACTATAAAATGAATAGAGGTAATAGGACTCCAATGAATAGGACTCTAATTAATATTAAAATTAATAAGACTAATTAATATTAAAATTAATAGGACTCAAATAAAATTTTCCAGAGTCTATAAGTGGTTCACAGGTGGTCCATCACTACATATTGGTACTTTCACTACATTGTTACTTTAAGTACTATCATTTCAGGAGGACGGGTCGCTACAAAGACATGTGGTAGTAGGTCCTTGAGGCTAGAGGCACTGAGGTGGAGAGTATAGCCAGTAGCAAATGTCGTTACCAATGACTGATACTCTGGTGTTGGGATGAGTGAGTGTAAGGTGGCACATTGCCTCTTGACCTCTTGAGCCATTCATTCATGTTTAAATAGGAATTCAAGCTGAACTAGAAGAGAATATAGAGGTCTTTACACACAGAAATCATAATAGCGTGATGTATCAAATGAACAAATCCACAAGGGCCGTGACGAGGGTTCGAACCTTCGTCCGAGAGGATCCCAGACGCTGCCTTAATCGACTGAGCTACGACATGGTAAAATAATTGCAACCAGAAGTTCAATTCCATGGCTATACCCAGAGGTCTTCTTGATATACAGCCTAGTATAAAATGACGGTAAATTAATTTGAGAGGCGTCATCCTGGTTGGGCTGACTTCTGCTTAAGCATCAGTTCTGTAAAAGCAGATTCCCTACCTAGTGTGCCACTGTTATTTTTTTATGGTTCAATTATGCACGTTAATAAATGCTTCTACTCCAACTGTGAATGTGAGTTAATCAATAATATTATTTTTTTTACCTGTGTAATCATCATCAAGTGATAATCATCAATTAATCATCAGTATAGAGAAATTGACCAGAGTGAAGTACAGTGCGATACACTGTAAAATAGAAACGTTACCTCAACAACATGCTTGGATGAAAAAAGTATTTTGATGAAAAACGATTTTGTCAAATATTTATTATGAATAATAAATCAAAACACATATTCTTGTTACCAGCAGCAATTGTTAAGTAACTCAAACATTTCTAGTGTAAAAAATTGTAGACAATAATGAATTTGTTGTGTAACTTGTTGAGAAGAAAGGTCTAGACGTTGGGGTATGGGTATGGTCTAGATCCTAGACCTGGGTATGGGTATGGTCTAGACCCTAGACTACACCTGGGGTATAAGCATGGTCTAGACGCTAGGGTACACCTGGGTATGGGTATGGTCTAGACGCTAGGGTACACCTGGGTATCGTTATGTTCTAGACGCTAGGGCACACCTGGGTATGGGTATGGTCTAGACGCTAGGGTACACTTGGGTATGGGTATGGTCTAGACGCTGTGGTACACCTGGGGAAAGATTATCCCGACTCAGTAATAAACAAAACATTCAGTTTCCATGATCGCTGCACGACGCCAAAGCCCAAGTCAAAAATAACCATCGGATGAGTTTGGACTGACAGCAGTTCATTCACTGACGATGATGGCGCGGTTGCTGGACTTGTGTAAACACCTACTTCATGTAATCATGATTTAGTCTACAGCGTTGCTATAGAAATACACGGCGTCTCCGCTTGACAGACGATGTTGATAGGGTGTGGCGCATGGCAGGTCTCGTTAACCACTGCTAGGTCTCGCCAGAGATTACATTAGTCGCCGCGTGAACATACTCGCTTTTGGCTAGCAAAATATCGACAAGTCACAGGGAGGTTCTGCTCTCGACGGGATATACCTACACACACATTTATTCGAGGAACGACGACTTGCTTTAAGTGTCGTCGATAATGATAGATGTCGCCGACTGGTGCTACACGACGGTCTCACAGCCCCAGCAACAAGACGTTAAACAGTTAACTCTTGGCTCCTCCACCATTTCTCCAATGCATGGGTTTCCGTTTTTTGTTGAACTCGCTGGTAAGAGAGAGCTATAATTATGTTGGCGTCCCACCCGAAGCATGTTTCCTTGACTCCTGTGGCTCCGGCCACCACCGTCTGGCCCAAGTGGCATGACAGCTTCACTGATCTATCACTCACATTCCTCTATATTCCAACGGTAAAAAACTTAATTTACTCATAATAGAAGATGAGGAATTTATTGCAGTTATTCACGTGTTAATATGTGTGTTTGTGTATGTTTGTATGTGTGTATGTTTGTATGTGTGTATGTGTGTGTGTGTGTGTGTATGTGTGTGTGTGTGTGTGTGTGTGTGTATGTGTGTGTGTGTGTGTGTGTGTGTGTGTGTGTGTGTGTGTGTGTGTGTGTGTGTGTGTGTGTGTGTGTGTGTGTGTGTGTGTCAAGGAAAGAAGGAAAGAAGAGAGAAAGATTAATATAAAGGAACAGATCACTTATAACTTCCTCTACCAGGGTTTCACTCTTAGTAGGACGCTAGGAACCTTGCTTATAATAACCGCGACAACATTGTTTCACTCTCAATCTTAAAAATACTATAAAACACTATTTAAACTAATCCTCAGTGTTTATATTGACTAATAACTCATGGCTGTACCCCTGACATCAATTAACCATTGACAGTCCAATAAAATCGAAGCCTGGCAATTTCCATCCGTGTTAATTTCCCCGGCTGTGTAGCCTATGTCAGTGTGTGTGTGTGTGTGTGTGTGTGTGTGTGTGTTGGTGAGTCTTGGGTGCTCTGTTCCCTGCTTGTAGGTGATGCGCTCAGGGCGATAATTTCCGTACTGTGTATGGTCCTTTAGTCACCAGTTCGCAACAACGTTAACTTCTAAAGATCTTGCTATAATAATTGTAACTATTTTATAACGACTTACCCAATACGACCAAGGGTTAGGTGAGCTTTCAATTTTAACTCACTGCATTTTTTCTCTGAACTGTGCACCGTCAGGTCTTCCAGCTACCTCGCATGGAGCCTATTGTGCAATTCTCAGGTACTAAACAAACATTACTAAAGCAGTACTAAAAATCTTTACGGAATTTAGTTGCTGAGTGATACGTAATCTTTTCTAAAATCACTCAGAGGATGGGTAGAGGGCTGCCCTGCCGTACACAGACTGGGTATAGGACTGCATCACAAATGAACTAAACTGGAACAAGTGTTGATGAAGGTGTAGAGGTCTGTAGCTCTCTGGGACCATCAGAAACTGGCCACAACCAAAGGCAAACTCGAATTACATTACAGAAGACCCATTACACTCTTCGGAATTGACATTAATTTGTATTAACACATCTCGATCTTGATATTGTAGTAATACGTTGTTGCTCATCTCCACCTCAAATCAGCTTCTCAGTCTCAGAAAACAAGTTTTTAATAATAGTCACAAGATTGTGTGTATATATTAAGTGCTGCGTGGACATGAAATAGTGTACATATACACACCGAGATGTATATACACAGAGATTTATATATATACCCAAAGGCATATTTATCAGAATAACTAAGGTAAATCACGGCCATAATAATCCTGACACTCGTTGCGTCTTTAACATTAAATCCAACACCTGCATGATTATTATTCGATATAAACATCTTTATATTTGTCTGCTCCATTGTCCAGGGGAGGTATGCCCACGAGGAGAAGCTCAGTTTCCCTTATGTGTAATACGTAGTAATTGTAATATGTGTAATACGTTTGTTTTATGTGTAGTTTAAAAAAAATATCAGTTCTGCCAGTCGACTGAGAGGTCCTAAAGGAGCCCAAGCAGGAGCTGCAAGTGTTAGGAGTGATAACCTACCTTGATATATATATATATATATATATATATATATATATATATATATATATATATATATATATATATATATATATATATATATATATATATATATATATATATCCAGGCTGATCCTCTTTTGATTCAATGATAATGAAACCTATTTACCTTTGCTGTGCCCAGCCGCGGCCCTTCCAGGTATTATCGAGCAGCGACAACACTGCTGACACTTTTAATATTTTAATTGTGTTTATTTTATGGTAACTATTGAGCTGACTTGTTTGCCTTCTGGTGCAGCGAAGCCAAACGAACACGACAGGAGTAGCCAAGGCCCGAAGCCTAAGCCAGGAGGTTCCCTACCTCTGGCCGGAGGTCGATAACAATTTGAAGGAACGGAGGTCTCGCAAGGGCTGGTACCGGGTCGACTTCGGGCCGCAGCAGAGCACAGAGCTCCGGTACCTGCCCACGTCCAGGGACAAGCTGAACTTCCTGCGGAGCTACGCCGAGCCAGTCTCCTATTCGGCTTTTGATCTTCCTCGGGCCACCTCCGTCCCGCCGCCGGCCCGGAAGAGCAGGAAATCCGGGTCTTCCACCTACTGGACCACTACGAGATACCGCCCCATTACCACTGTGATTCCTTATACCAGGCCAAGATCCTCCTCGTACAGTTACTGGTACTACCCGAGCTTGAGACCCTACTGGAGCAGCCTGTGGACGTCGCCCAGGTACCTGAACCCCATCGCGGGCCGCGCCAGGTCCCTCAGCCCACCTATCCGCGTGTCTACCAGCTGGAGCGTAAGTCTGTAAGAGCTCCACCAGCGCCTAACCCAAGCCAGAGTCTTGCACGTCTTGCTTGCCGGCACCACCGCACTCCTCCTTACTTACTCACAAGCTTACTCACGCCAAAAACTGCAGCCACACTGTGCCAGCTGCGGCCACCCACACCTTGAGCTCCACACCCACCACTAAATTCACGCTAAAATACGACTAGGAATTGTGATATAAATAGCATTTTGAAACTGTTCTTCCATGCCTCGAAGGGATATAATGAACCCAGGTTAATGCAAAGTAAATCCAAACAGATTTGAGTATCTCATTCCTCGTTTGTTTTCCCCCTGTGTTTGCAGTATGAGAGTTGAGTGGTATGGACCTTTACGCCCTTGTTTGTTTCGTTGTGTTCTTGATCAATGTTGCAAGTGAAGCCAGCTATTGTTTGACGTCGTATGGTGTGGCCAGGCAGTGTGTAGGTGCATCATGTCAGCCTTCGCCAACACACTATAGCATTCATCATCATAAAGTCCCAATGATACTTGGCACAATCAGCGGGCCGAGGTGATGTGCTTCTTGCCTCCCCCTCGAGGCCCAGTAGCTTCCGCTCTTCTCGAGGACCAGTAGCGTCCGCTCTTCTCGAGGCCCAGTAGCTTCCGCTCTTCTCGAGGCCCAGTAGCTTCCGCTCTTCTCGAGGCCCAGTAGCTTCCGCTCTTCTCGAGGCCCAGTAGCTTCCGCTCTTCTCGAGGACCAGTAGCGTCCGCTCTCCTCACTCGTCTGGGGAGCTTCTTGAAGCTGTTTCAAAAGTGAGACGAACATTACTGGGCGTTATGTTAAACCTTGACGAATCACAATGCTTTGTGAGTCTGCGCACTTGTTGCTTCCTCACTGAAGACCTAAATTACTTTTCGTCCTCACCAACCGTCATGTCTTAAACCGTATGTACAAATTCTTGCCTGTTTTATTGTTAAGTAAGGCGCAGCAGTTTGTTGTACGTGTATCTCAACGTAACTAATTGTCGCTTGCAAAGTTCCTGACAGATAATAATTCGGTGTAACACAATCCGTCGACAAACGTCAACACATTATTGCACGAGTTTTTGGTGTACCATGCTGACCCATAGTGCGCATAATGCCATGCTGGGCCATGGTGCGCATAGCTCCATGCTAACCCCACGCCAACTCTTTAATTAAGAAGCTTATGTGTTTGTCGCTGTGATCACATCTGCTCTACCTCACCATTATTAATGACAACGTTTAAATTAAATACATTTACAATCAAATACATTAAATAACATAACCTACAAAAAAGCAAACACATAGACTCGCAAGTCAATGACCAGCCAACTCTTGTACCCTGGGCACGCTGAGGTGGGCATGGCAGGCAGGGGGTTGGGCTGTCCCCACCTCACCTCTGTACCCTGGGCACGCTGAGGTGGGCATGATAGGCAGGGGGGTTGGGCTGTCCCCACCTCACTTGTGTACCCTGGGCATGCTGTGGTGAGCATGGCAGGCAGGGGGTTGGGCTGTCCCCACCTCACCTCTGTACCCTGGGCACGCTGAGGTGGGCATGATAGGCAGGGGGGTTGGGCTGTCCCCACCTCACCTCTGTACCCTGGGCACGCTGTGGTGAGCATGGCAGGCAGGGGGTTGGGCTGTCTCCACCTCACTTGTGTACCCTGGGCATGCTGTGGTGAGCATGGCAGGCAGGGGGTTGGGCTGTCTCCACCTCACTTGTGTACCCTGGGCATGCTGTGGTGAGCATGGCAGGCAGGGGGTTGGGCTGTCCCCACCTCACTTGTGTACCCTGGGCATGCTGTGGTGAGCATGGCAGGCAGGGGGTTGGGCTGTCCCCACCTCACTTGTGTACCCTGGGCATGCTGTGGTGAGCATGGCAGGCAGGGGGTTGGGCTGTCCCCACCTCACTTGTGTACCCTGGGCATGCTGTGGTGAGCATGGCAGGCAGGGGGTTGGGCTGTCCCCACCTCACTTGTGTACCCTGGGCATGCTGTGGTGGGCATGGCAGACGGGGGGTCGGGGCTGTCCCCACCTCACCTGTGCAACTAGTTCACTTTTATGAAACTATTTATATATTTTCTACAAGTATTCTACAAGCATCCCAAAGGAACATGACGGAAGAGGAAGAATGCATCCACCATGATTTTTGTTCACCACCTGAGACTGATGGATGACTACTACTACCACTATATTAACGAGGTGAACAGATATCACGGTGGATGCATTCTTCCTCCTCCGCCATGTTCCCTTGGGATGCGGGCTGTAGAAATATTTTAAATTGCATAGGATTGTTATTATAATCTATATATACATATACTATATCATATATATACTCACACACACAACTCTAAACACAAGGGACACAGTTATACTTAAATACCGTAAGCATATATAAGGAAAGTAATAATTTCGAGCTATTTTGTGTATTAGTTGTATAAAGGAACACAGCTAAGAACACAGCTAAGAACACAGCTAAGAACGTCTGGACAACAAATCCCTTCCAAGATCGTCGTCTAACAACAACTTAAGTCATCATGAAGCACAAAGAATTACACGAATTCCAAAACATTATTGTAAAGTTTTCCGATATTTGTTTCAACGCATAATTTCAAGACTAAATTTGATGTTTCAATCCGTGAAATAAATGCATTTTTTTTCGTGTCGAAAAGATCTAACAAATTCCTGACATCTCACGGAGCTATAAAATTTATGTTGTTATATTTTTATATCCAGTTTTCTTAACACTATGTCGTCTCATGTTGAATTTAATTAAGATTTTGTTGACCTGTCATGATCATCAGGAAAAATATATTCTTGGACTTTTTCGTAAAGATTTATAAATACAACATTGATATAGAAGCGTTTGAAAAAAATAGGAAATTCAAGGAAGGTTTATGAAATGGTAATGTCAAGATCGGTTTGATTGTATATATCTTCCCTGTATCATAAATTGATTACAAAATCTATGCAATATATTTTTGTTCAAACTTTACCAATAATGACATCATATTTTTAAACTAAAGACTGTTCAACATTTGCTACTAAATTATTAATCAAGCTGCGCTGTGAAACATATATGTAGCTATCTAAAAAAAATACTGACATTTAATATTTAATGTAATACAGGGTGAATTAGAGGCAAATATAATGACATATTACAAAGTATTGCACATGTAATCCAATTATTAACATTGTGGTAACCTTTACGGAACACTGCATCCGAAATATTGTAGAATTACTTTCCATATGAATATTTGAAAAGGAATTATCTTCTATAATCCTAACAAGAAAATATCCTGGTTGTCATTGCTTATCCATAAGTAGAAAATATCTTATCCTCATCTAATATTATTTTGGTGGGAAGACTTTTACTTATAATGTTTTATCTCATACAAATTTTGTGAAAATTGTTTAGGGAAATGGAGAGATAGTTTCCCTTAGACATTCTAATACTTTAACTAAAATAATTATTAAAATCAAAGTTAAATTCAGTAACTCAAGGTGTAAGATAAATGATTAATGAATCATATCTCACTAATTAATCAGACAATATTGCAAATAATCTACAGACGCTTTTCTAAAGGTGAAATCAGAACTAACTATTCTGAAATTACTTATATGTTTTTTGTTACATAATTCATCAAGAAGATCTACATTGTTCCTTATAACAGGGATAAATGTCTGGATTAACTCCTTGGGAGGGATGAAGGTGCTAGATCTAAGGAGAGATAATTATAGGTTTGACTCGATTATTTGGTTTAAGGTTTTTATAAGACATTTATTATGACACTTAAAGGGTAATTTTTATGGATAACGTGTTCTTTGTCATTCGAACGAAGTAATCTCGTTTAAATTGATATTCCCAGTATCTAAAGGACTCTTTTTGTCAATTTACGAAATGGTATAATTAATCTTGATTAACTAGTAAAATTTATTTAGAATTACTTTATTTGATTAGGATTTATCATGTTTGGTGATGTGCAACTTCAAACTTTCTACAAGTATTCATAGGCTTAAGCAATTCTCACTGGGTAGTTATGCAATTTTGTTAAGAACTTGTTTTCTCTCTTGTTGGTCTAAAGTTAGATCATAACCGAAGACGGGAGAAGTATATTTTCCAAACTTTTATTACATAATGTTCACAGCATTGTTATTCTTCAGTTTTATCGAATTACTATTTTCAGTAAAGTTTTTAGCCATGAAATGTTTCTTTAAAGGTAAGCTGATATGACAATAATCATAGGCCTACAGTAAGACTTGTTCAAGTCTTATCTTGTATTCATTAATGAGAAATCTATGTGCATCACGAAAGATATTCTTCCTGAATACATCACAATGGCGATCTCTCTTACGATGAGTGTTCCATTCTAACGAAACTTGGTCATTTCAGAAAGCAAATTTCAATCTCAAAAACTTTATAATCCATGTCAAATGTGAGGGATCTGTGGAGCACATCTTCACCATTCCATGATGTGCTGATGGACCTCGTGCTCGAAATTATTGGTTACTTTTAACTCATTTCCGCAAATAAATATTTACTGTTTGTATACACACACACACACACACACATATATATATACATATATGTATGTATATATGTGTGTGTGTGTGTGTGTGTGTATGTTGTATGTGTGTACATACCCCCACCTACAATACAACAAAGTATACCAGGGTATACCAATACCGTGATGGTGAGAGCACTAAGACTGACGCCTGCCCCCCGCGGCCCCTGTGTTTACATATAGGACTCGTACACCTCGCCGTACTCCTCGTACTCTGCCACCACCACCTACAGCCCCGACAGCACGGAGGTGAGGGAGGAGAGGCGCAGCGTGTCCCCTGCGCCTAGTTCCTTCAGACCCTCGGCCGCCACACAGCTCATCTTGAACCGCGTGGCCCTGAGAACGCCCCGCTCGACCGTGTCTCCGCTGGTCAGGGTAAGACCAGGGTCGCCTCTATAAGCTCATTAATTAACGTGCACCGCTCTGATCAACAAATTTTTGCTGGTCTTTATTCTTTGCTATACCGCCAACCACTTTTCTTTATAATGCTCTGGTGGTCGCTGTAACGCATCAGCCAGGCGGACATTTTCTACTCGCTCACTTGACTTTTCATTAAAACTATTAATACAGATTTTGTAATTTTGTTCTTTTATTCGCTTTTCGGTAATTCTTTTCATTTTCCGTTTTATTTTATTTCTCTGTTACTTCGCTTGCTACGTTTATGTATTTCCGTTCGAGGCTTCTCTTGTTACGAACGTAAGTACCGTAACTTTTGACCGCTTTTATTCACTCTAAATTCAACTAATAATTCCTCTAAAGGGAGCAGACGGAGGAGGAGTGACATAACAAATTCACGTAACACGAATTGCATTACATCCGGCCTTGAGCCAGATGGTTTGGGCGACGAGGGCGCCATCTGGCTCCGCACTCTAAACTGCCAGTATTGGGAACACTGCTTGCATGACACCTTACCTTGCTCTCTTGTTGGACTTGTAATACTGCTTCCATGTTTCCCTCCCTTCATAACTTCCACCCCCTCCCTTCATAACTTCCACCCCCTCCCTTCATAACTTCCACCCCCTCCCTTCATAACTTCCACCCCTCCCTTCATAACTTCCACCCCCTCCCCTTCATAACTTCCACCCCTCCCTTCATAACTTCCACCCCCTCCCTTCATAACTTCCACCCCTCCCTTCATAACTTCCACCCCCTCCCTTCATAACTTCCACCCCTCCCTTCATAACTTCCACCCCTCCCTTCATAACTTCCACCCCCTCCCCTTCATAACTTCCACCCCTCCCTTCATAACTTCCACCCCCTCCCTTCATAACTTCCACCCCCTCCCCTTCATAACTTCCACCCCTCCCTTCATAACTTCCACCCCTCCCTTCATAACTTCCACCCCTCCCTTCATAACTTCCACCCCCTCCCTTCATAACTTCCACCCCTCCCTTCATAACTTCCACCCCTCCCTTCATAACTTCCACCCCTCCCTTCATAACTTCCACCCCTCCCTTCATAACTTCCACCCCTCCCTTCATAACTTCCACCCCTCCCTTCATAACTTCCACCCCCTCCCTTCATAACTTCCACCCCCTCCCTTCATAACTTCCACCCCCTCCCTTCATAACTTCCACCCCTCCCTTCATAACTTCCACCCCCTCCCTTCATAACTTCCACCCCTCCCTTCATAACTTCCACCCCTCCCTTCATAACTTCCACCCCTCCCTTCATAACTTCAACCCCTCCCTTCATAACTTCCACCCCTCCCTTCATAACTTCCACCCCCTCCCCTTCATAACTTCCACCCCTCCCTTCATAACTTCCACCCCTCCCTTCATAACTTCCACCCCTCCCTTCATAACTTCCACCCCTCCCTTCATAACTTCCACCCCTCCCTTCATAACTTCCACCCCCTCCCTTCATAACTTCCATCCCCTCCCTTCATAACTTCCACCCCTCCCTTCATAACTTCCATCCCCTCCTTCCTAACTTCCACCCCTCCCTTCATAACTCCCACCCCACCCTTCATAACTTCCACCCCTCCCTTCATAACTTCCATCCCCTCCTTCCTAACTTCCACCCCCTCCCTTCATAACTTCCACCCCCTCCCTTCATAACTTCCACCCCCTCCCTTCATAACTTCCACCCCCTCCCTTCATAACTTCCACCCCCTCCCTTCATAACTTCCACCCCCTCCCTTCATAACTTCCACCCCTCCCTTCATAACTTCCACCCCCTCCCTTCATAACTTCCACCCCACCCTTCATAACTTCCACCCCCTCCCTTCATAACTTCCACCCCTTCCCTTCATAACTTCCACCCCTCCCTTCATAACTTCAACCCCTCCCTTCATAACTTCCACCCCTCCCTTCATAACTTCCACCCCCCCCCTTCATAACTTCCACCCCTCCCTTCATAACTTCCACCCCTCCCTTCATAACTTCCACCCCTCCCTTCATAACTTCCACCCCTCCCTTCATAACTTCCACCCCTCCCTTCATAACTTCCACCCCCTCCCTTCATAACTTCCATCCCCTCCCTTCATAACTTCCACCCCTCCCTTCATAACTTCCATCCCCTCCTTCCTAACTTCCACCCCTCCCTTCATAACTCCCACCCCACCCTTCATAACTTCCACCCCTCCCTTCATAACTTCCATCCCCTCCTTCATAACTTCCAACTTCCACCCCCTCCCTTCATAACTCCCACCCCCTCCCCTTCATAACTTCCACCCCCTCCCTTCATAACTTCCACCCCCTCCCTTCATAACTTCCACCCCCTCCCTTCATAACTTCCACCCCCTCCCTTCATAACTTCCACCCCTTCCCTTCATAACTTCCACCCCTCCCTTCATAACTTCCACCCCCTCCCTTCATAACTTCCACCCCCTCCCTTCATAACTTCCACCCCCTCCCTTCATAACTTCCACCCCCTCCTTCGTAACTTCCTCACTGTACTAAACTTTCCCTTTACCTAAAAGTGGGGTTAAAATAACATTATGGTGGACCTTGCCAGGGCTGCACGCTGGTGTCTCACACCCTTTTCTCTCCTCCTTAAATAACCTTCGCTTTGTTAAGTTTGTTTAGTTTAGTAATTTTTTTAGTGTGAGTAATTCAGTTTGCATTTCATCATTTGTCAATTATGTAAAGGCTCTATTATGTACGTTAAAATAAATTTTATCGTTTTCTTTGGGATTATTACAGCCAAAAAACCTGGTAGCTGGTCTAATGAATTTAGCATCCAGGAGCCTCTTGCAGATTATATGGACTTTAGACAAAGGCCTCCCTGTCACCATGTGTATATTTGTCTCTATAGTATATTTTTAAACCCTCCGTCATGATGGGGGTGGAGGCGAGGAGACACCTGCAGGAGGAGGAGGAGGTGTTTGCTTTACTTGCTGCTCCTCGACCGCCTATAGTCGTCAGCTCTCAAGGCCTAGAGAGTTCCTCCTTGAGGATGTGTGTGTGCTCCACCGTGTGCTCGTGGAGCGCCTCACCGTGCACCCTCTGTTAGTCTTGGTTAACACAGGTCCTTCTTGCAGGGTTATGCGCCCCTGGGCCCGCCACCACCCCGCATGGTGCCCCGCATGCCTCCGGCGTACTACGACTACGACTATGGCTACGGCGGCTACTATGGCTACGCCCCTCCCCCACCCAGGATAAGGTTGGTGTTTGTGTGTGTGTTTCCCGCAGTCTTGCTCCAGGGCATGACTTGTCCTAGAGCACGACGTGCCACAAGGCATGACTTGCCCCAGGGCATGACTTGTCCTAGAGCACGACGTGCCCCAGGGCACGGCATGCCCCAGGGTATGATTTGCGCCTAATTTTCTAAAGTGCGAGGTGTGTTCGTACTGACCTTGGTATCGGGATCGACATGTTCCTGTATATTGTAACTTAAGCATGTTGAAGGGCGGGGTTGTGACACATGAAGGGTTGACTACAGGGCCAGAGTGAGGCAGGGTTGACAGGACAAGGGCACCAGCAAGGTTGGCCTGCAAACAGCAGAGCTGTGCAGAAGGGACGGGAGTTAGGTAGCAGAGAGGGAAGCTAGCAGGGAGAGAAGTGGAGCAGACTGGGGAAGACAGCAGGCAAGGAAGGTCAGCATTCAGGGAAGGGCAGCAGACTGGGAAGGTCAGCAGACAGGGAAGGTCAGCAGACAGGGGAAGGTCAGCAGACAGGGAAGGTCAGCAGACAGGGGAAGGTCAGCAGACAGGGGAAGGTCAGCAGACAGGGGAAGGTCAGCAGACAGGGGGTATAAGCGAGGTGACTAACACAGTGTCATGTCAACAGCCGCTACGACAGCTACCTGGACGACGACCTCCCGGAGCCCGCCTACGTCCCGCGCTACCGCCCCAGGCTCCCGGACCCCCTCGACGATGCTGACTTCCGCGACAGGGTAAGTCGCCCCCCACACCTTCGCCCACGCCAGCCCACGCCTCCGTCCACACCTGTCCATGCCTCCGCCCACGCCTTCCCTCCACACCTGTTATATATATATATATATATATATATATATATATATATATATATATATATATATATATATATATATATATATATATATATATATATATATATATATATATATATATATATATATATATATATATATATATATATATATATATATATATATATATATATATATATATATATATATATATATATATAGCCCCCTCCCCCCCACCACCCACACTCACACACACCTGATAACAGTAACGGGCGCTGCCTCATGGGAGCTTCACAGGCTGATGTCCTAAGTGTTGCAACGTGTTGCAACTGATGTCCCAAGTGTTGCAACTGATGTCCCAAGTGTTGCAACTGATGTCCCAAGTATTTCAACTTTGTTTTATGTGTTAATTTCCATGTGACGTGTTCCTGACTAAGGCTCATGATTACATGCAGTTTAGGGCAAGCAGTGTATATTTACCCTGTACACGTGACCTCAAATGACCTCCTGTAGGGGTCAAATGACGCTGTGTTTCCATTATGTCTATGTCCAAGGAGCCTTGCCTGCGGTCTTCCGCTCCATGTATGGAATACAAGAAGCTTTGGCATACAAGGCTTCTTGTATTCCAAATACGAATGACATATATGGATTCCAGTGTTGCAATCCAGAAGCTTTGCAAATGAAAAGCAAAATGAAAACTCCCTCCTGCTCAGTTTTGTGACTGTATGCTGTGTTGATCAAGGCTTATATAGACAGGATTATGCTGGATAAAGTCCCGGTAGGTATTAGCCACATATATGGTCGACCAGAACACAAGGTGCTCCTGGTTGGTCGGAACACAAGGTGCTCCTGGTTGGACAGAACACTAGGTGCTCCTGGTTGGTCAGAACACAAGGTGCTCCTGGTTGGTCGGAACACAAGGTGCTCCTGGTTGGTCGGAACACAAGGTGCTCCTGGTTGGTCAGAACACAAGGTGCTCCTGGTTGGTCGGAACACAAGGTGCTCCTGGTTGGTCGGAACACAAGGTGCTCCTGGTTGGTCGGAACACAAGGTGCTCCTGGTTGGACAGAACACAAGGTGCTCCTGGTTGGCCAGAACACAAGGTGCTCCTGGTCGACCAGAACACAAGGTGCTCCTGGTCGACCAGAACACAAGGTGCTCCTGGTTGGCCAGAACACAAGGTGCTCCTGGTTGGTCAGAACACAAGGTGCTCCTGGTTGGTCAGAACACAAGGTGCTCCTGGTTGGTCAGAACACAAGGTGCTCCTGGTTGGTCAGAACACAAGGTGCTCCTGGTTGGACAGAACACAAGGTGCTCCTGGTTGGCCAGAACACAAGGTGCTCCTGGTTGGTCGGAACACAAGGTGCTCCTGGTTGGTCAGAACACAAGGTGCTCCTGGTTGGTCAGAACACAAGGTGCTCCTGGTTGGCCAGAACACAAAGTGCTCCTGGTTGGTCAGAACACAAGGTGCTCCTGGTTGGTCAGAACACAAGGTGCTCCTGGTTGGCCAGAACACAAGGTGCTCCTGGTTGGTCGGAACACAAGGTGCTCCTGGTTGGTCGGAACACAAGGTGCTCCTGGTTGGTCGGAACACAAGGTGCTCCTGGTTGGTCGGAACACAAGGTGCTCCTGGTTGGTCGGAACACAAGGTGCTCCTGGTTGGTCGGAACACAAGGTGCTCCTGGTTGGTCAGAACACAAGGTGCTCCTGGTTGGTCAGAACACAAAGTGCTCCTGGTTGGACAGAACACAAGGTGCTCCTGGTTGGTCAGAACACAAGGTGCTCCTGGTTGGCCAGAACACAAGGTGCTCCTGGTTGGTCAGAACACAAGGTGCTCCTGGTTGGTCAGAACACAAGGTGCTCCTGGTTGGTCAGAACACAAGGTGCTCCTGGTTGGACAGAACACAAGGTGCTCCTGGTTGGCCAGAACACAAGGTGCTCCTGGTTGGTCGGAACACAAGGTGCTCCTGGTTGGACAGAACACAAGGTGCTCCTGGTTGGACAGAACACAAGGTGCTCCTGGTTGGTCAGAACACAAGGTGCTCCTGGTTTTACAGAACACAAGGTGCTCCTGGTTGGTCAGAACACAAGGTGCTCCTGGTTGGTCAGAACACAAGGTGCTCCTGGTTGGACAGAACACAAGGTGCTCCTGGTTTATCAGAACACAAGGTGCTCCTGGTTGGCCAGAACACAAGGTGCTGAAAATAATATAACAATTCACATTCATAAAACATTTTATCAAGAGACAATACTTCGCCCAGTTTGATTTGATCATTTTTTTTACATAACTGAAATCTTACTTTTAATTAATTGACGTTGAATGTGTTTTTCTCCACAATTTGCCAAACCTAAGTGGTTAGCCAGCATATATATATCATGTCAAAATCACGTAGAGAAATACGGGGTTTCGAACCAGCGTTATATTGACTCCCAGATGCTAGCCTTAACCCACTCGACCACGATAATGTGTTATTGTGATTTTCTGAATATAATGAGAAAAAAAACACACAATATGACCATTAAAATGACATAACGAGGGAAAATGTACATATAAATAGTGTAGGCCGGATACCCCTACCTCACCCTCTTCGAATTTTCTTAAGGTAAGTAGACTCCATTATCGTGATGGACACACAAGGCTTCTGCCCTCACTCGTAGCTATGATAAACGCGTATAGAATATACATATTATATATTATATATTCATATTATATATACATATATTATAAACGCGTATGACCATTTGATAGTTCTCACTAGTGTTTTTTTTTACTATACTTCCAATCCAAATATTGTTTCAATTTTGTTCCGGTCAATATTAAATGTTGACTTTGGATAAAATGTTGACTTTGGATAAAATGTTGACTTTGGATAAAATGTTGACTTTGGATAAAATGTTGACTTTGGATAAAATGTTGACTTTGGATAAAATGTTGACTTTGGTCATAAAAAAATTATCTTTAAATTTCTCCGCCTCTTTGACCTGTATATAAGAAATTAATACTAACTGACGTTTGATTGTGTGGTGTTAAATTCTCAGCTCAAAGGCCATTTATCGAGGTTATCAAGTTAATTAACAAAATTGATTGATCAAATATAGAGAAAGAAAAATAATTTTAGTAAATCAAATTAGCAATTCGCAAGCAGCGGCACTTACGAACCACTTGATGGTAATTTACGTTGATTGATTGTTATTTGTTTTGTTCCTTAATATCCTGAAGAGGAACCTCAAAATGGAGAAAATCAACATACAGATTTAAAGTATTAATAATTGTGTAAATATTATGACAAACTGTCTTATATAAAACCATGAAATATTTATTGTGCAAGTCAGAGAAATTGCCAAAAAAATTACAAGATGGCTGACTTGCTCTGACGATAACTTTATGTGTAAGGAAGGAAGGAATTATCAGGAGAAAGCACCAAGTCATTACAATTATATAGCATTGGGAAAGGGGGGGGGGTCAGGATAAGGATTTGGGATGGGACGAAGGGAAGGAATGGTGCCCAACCGCCTGGATGGTCGAGGATTGAACGGAGAATATTCCCTTTGACAATATAAGCAAACCTATATGAATAGGAAAGCTATAGAATGATAACATTCTGAATGTCTACCAAATTAATCAGTTATCGTCTTTGCCATAGCAATTTTTCTTATCTGCCTCGCTAACGTCAATAACTTGGTTTTTAAAACAGGTGTCAAGTAACTTTGTATCCATATCAGTGTTTGATAACAGCGTCCACAGCTGCCATAGTGTAATTATTATATTAGAATGAGTATTGTCTTTCTTTAATTGTCAAAATGAGAACAAACCCCGTAAGGTTGTATAGCACTGTCTGTGTCAGAATATTCAAATGTTCCAAGAAATTATTCTTCATTATATTTCTTAAATAAAATATTATCATTACTAATCCGATTTTCCGAGGATTTTTGAATATATATATCTGCACAAAATCAAATTAAAAAAAGAGACAAACGATTTGTTTTTAAATATCAAAGAGTGTGTGTATTTCCCATATGTATATTGTGTATATGTACATGTTATATTGCACGTCAGTGTATATGTTACAATGTGTTATATTGTCCCTAGATGACCTTACATTTTCCTGTGAAGAAAACATATCCACGAAGACGTTGTCAACTTTATACAGTGTTGTTGAATGTTGTTTCCTGCACCCTCAACAGAGCCATCCTCACTTGATCACCACCACCACCACCACCACAACCCCCAGGACCACGGCCCACACCAGAGGCTACTCCCCGGGTGTAAGTCTCCCTCCTGTACCACTCTTGCCTCACACACTCTAGTGACCGCGCCTCCACTACTGGTAGCCAAGGCTCTGACATCTCCCAGCCTCGGTTCCACCTCCCAGGGTTGGAACTGAGACTAGGATCACGTGACGTTTTTTGTAGCTAGGGCTTCGTCTTCTAAGAGGGCTTGGTTGGGCTGCCCCTTAAGGGCAGTACGGGCTAAGACTGCGTCTGGAAATAAAGTTATTCTTTAAGCTAGGACAACACCAGGAGCTCTGACTAGACTATAAGATAAGGCTGCATATTGAGGTAATGCTATACCTTGACCAAGTAGGGCTAGACCTTGAGCAAGTAGGGCTACACCTTGAGCAAGTAGGGCTACACTTTGACCAAGTAGGGCTACACCTTGACCAAGTAGGGCTACACCTTGAGCAAGTAGGGCTACACCTTGACCAAGTAGGGCTACACCTTGAGCAAGTAGGGCTACACCTTGAGCAAGTAGGACTACACCTTGACCAAGTAGGGCCACACCTTGAGCAAGTAGGGCTACACCTTGACCAAGTAGGGCTACACCTTGAGCAAGTAGGGCTACACCTTGAGCAAGTAGGGCTACTCCTTGAGCAAGTAGGGCTACACCTTGAGCAAGTAGGACTACACCTTGACCAAGTAGGGCCACACCTTGAGCAAGTAGGGCTACACCTTGACCAAGCAGGGCCACACCTTGACCAAGTAGGGCTACACCTTGAGCAAGTAGGGCTACACCTTGAGCAAGTAGGGCTACACCTTGAGCAAGTAGGACTACACTTTGACCAAGTAGGGCCACACCTTGAGCAAGTAGGGCTACACCTTGACAAAGTAGGGCTACACCTTGACCAAGTAGGGCTACACCTTGAGCAAGTAGGTCTACACCTTGTTGAGCTACACTACTTGCTCAAGGTGTAGCCCTACACCTTGTTGAGCAAGTATGGCCACATCTTCAGCAGGGTGTAGCTTCAAAAGCACCAACACGGGTTCAGAAACGTTCTACCTGTAAACCTATTGCAGATCTATGAGGTCAGAAAAAGCAGGAAAGGGTAGGCAAAGTGCATACTTTCCAGCAGAGACAAAGAGATGCAGTTAGACGACTACATAGAATTTGCTACATGTAAACTGTTGAGAGAGTGACGTGTGTGTGAGGGGGGAGGGGAGGAAGGGACTCTGGGAGACACAATAGTGAGCTAGGTCAGGAACCAGACAACAACCAAGGTTACCAGTATCGAGGCAGGTATCAGAGGATTGTAAGCCAAACTGAACAATATTTTCAACCAGTGTACTAGTAGAGCTAAAGCTCACACGCTTTGACGTGAGAGATTGTAACCTTTTCTCAGCGATAAACAACTTTGTTCAAATAAGTTTTTAATGAGGTTAATTAAACTAGTTTCCTCAAGTTATCCAGTATCAACTAGAAGATTAAGGAGATTTCTTGCCTGGAATAAGTCTTTTCTATCCATGTCTTTGATGGTAAGCAAAAACAAACCGAATTTTCTCTCTATGTAGCCTTTTGTATTAACCAAATAAGCTTCTTAACCAAACTTGGGCGATTTTTAAAACGTGCTTGACGACATAAAAGGCTGCGATCTTCAGTGTATCGTGTACATAAAAGGCGGAAGCTTTGCATGATAACTAAGCGCCACAAGTCGTGCATCTGCAGCTGCTTACTTCGTTACCTACAGAATCTCTAATAGTTTTTAACAAATGTTTTCCGAGCCACCAGTCCCTGCGCCTCCCAGTGTGGAGAGACAGGCAGGGAATCGTACGCTACAGGCAGTTGAGTTTACTGTCTTACACACAGGACCATCCTGTGTGTGGAGTACTGACGCTGCAGCAATATTGCCTTGACACACACACACACACACACACACACACACACACACACACACACACACACACACACACACACACACACACACACACACACACACACACACACACACACACACACACACACACACACACTCGGGTCTTTCTCTGTCTAGCTCCTTGTCATGTCCCAATATGAGAACAACGGACAACTAATACAGTCCGCCATGACCAACGTCTTATCAGTTATGTACCATTATGTTATCTGTACACAAGACGGAGCAAAGGCTCTTCTGTGTTCGTCACCTTCACGACGAGTATGGAACAGTGGCGGCAGACAGGGACGGCAGACAGGGGCGGCAGACAGGGACGGCAGACAGGGACTTGAAGGTAATGCAATTATCGGGAGAAAGCACGAAGCCTGCATGTTTATATAGCAATTGCAATGGAAATAAGGGCAAAGGAGCTGGGATGTTAAGTCGGGGCGATGCAACACTGTTCTGCCACTTGGATTATCAGGGATCACGGGGCGACCTCTAGCAAGCAAGGCTGTCGTACCGATCAGTCCAATTGGATGTTTAGGACAGAAGATATCTCTCTCAAGACTAAGTCTCTGTTGTAAACAATCTCTCCCTCATGCCAAGGCTAGTGTTGTTTGCAGCCCATGTTTGTCCTGGTGGGGTGCTTTACATCCTCAGAGTGTTTGGAGAACACAAAACACAACTTCTCCTGACAGCAATAAACCCAACTTCTCCCAAATAGAACAATAAACCAAATTCCTTGGAAGAACACTAAACCCATCGCCAACTGAGAACATTAAACACAACTCACACAGAGAAGAACACAATACTCAACTCATCTTGTGAAGAACATTAAAACCAACTCATCCTAAGAACATGAAACCCAGCTTCTGCTGAGAACACTAAACCTAACTCATCCTGAGAAGAACACAAAAGGCAACACTTCCTGTGAATGATTAATAATGATCATAACAAATAATTTTTATAATAGTATCGCTTAAGAACGCCATATCCTAACTAAAACACCAAACACAGAACATTTGAAGTGAAAATACTCAAAATTTTGCATTTAAACGCAACCCTAAACATTTGTAACACTAACTAAATGTAACATTTAACTACCTAACATTCTAAAATAGAATTTGTTTTCTTTTTCAAGGTGCCAAAAACACACGAACTTATACTTTTTACCTAATATTTTAACATCTATCAAGCTCTCTTAATTAAGCAGGCGATGAGTCACAATAACGTGGCTGAAGTATGTTGACCAGACCACACACTAGAAGTTGAAGGGACGACGACGTTTCGGTCCGTCCTGGACCATTCTCAAGTCGATTGTGAGAATTGTCAAGTCACAATCGACTTGAGAATGGTCCAGGACGGACCGAAACGTCGTCGTCCCTTCAACTTCTAGTGTGTGGTCTGGTCAACATACTTCTCTTAATTAACATAATATGCAGATAACAGTTTTTGGTGACTGAGCTCCTCAGTGTAGCTTGGTTTGAAGAGCCTTTTGTAAGCTGCTGTGTGAACGTTTGATTTTTTTTTGTATTTATATTTTTATTGGTATATTTTAACCCCCTTTTTATTTTCGCGTTATCAACTTTCTTCATATTTTCTTCATAAATTTTCCATCTTCATTATTTTCGCGTTATCAACTTTATACTTTGTAATTTCATTTCATTGTAACAGAATTTTTCTTGTCTCAATTGTTTGCTTTCTTAGGTATTTATTTATTTATTTATTTATTGAGTGTACCTTCACTGTGGATATAATTTATATCCCGTTGTATTAACGATTTTTTATTTCCAAAACCATTCAATAACTTTAGTACAAAAAAACATAGTTTTAGATAGATCTTAGAAGAGTTCTCACTGTGCATTCTAACATAGCAGAGCTACGAGTAGAATTAACATCTCGAAAGATGGATAACATGACATGCTTGTACTGTATAAACATGTGTAGACAGAGCATTGGTGGGTTATAGTGTTTGCTTTGGACCTTATGACCGTAATCCACCGGCATTCTTATTTGTTTTGACCCTTCGTGCTGGAATACATCATAATATCATACACTACACGTAAGAACACAACACCTGCTCAAAATACACCTGCCGTGGTAAACACCCACAGAGTCAACAGCTGCCGGGGTCAATACCCACGAGTCCATTCCTACCAATCAATACCTGAGCACCAAAGTTTTCAGACATAATTAAAAATTTAATTATATTTCCCATTCATAAACATTTATACCCTCAACCCCACGTATCTACACCCGACACAGCTTCTATACGACACTATACAAGGCTCTATGGCTAATCAACCAACACTGATCGAAGTCATTTCCACGGCAGGGTAGAGGGATGTCAACACCCCCGCAATGACCTCACATCTATTTGGTTACTGAGGTTGGGTACACAGAAAGTCGGTCTTCAGTACTGCTGCAGGCTCCAGTTTATTCTCAGGGAGGACGGACGAGCTCTCCCACTCTAAGGGCGGACAAGGACGGCACTTCTGTTGGAGAGAGAGAGAGAGAGAGAGAGAGAGAGAGAGAGAGAGAGAGAGAGAGAGAGAGAGAGAGAGAGAGAGAGAGAGAGAGAGAGAGAGAGACAGACAGAGAGAGAGAGAGAGAGAGAGACAGACAGACAGAGAGAGAGAGAGAGAGAGAGAGAGAGAGAGAGAGAGAGAGAGAGAGAGAGAGAGAGAGAGAGAGAGAGAGAGAGAGAGAGAGAGAGAGAGAGAGAGAGAGAGAGAGAGAGAGAGACAGAGACAGAGAGAGACAGAGAGAGACAGAGAGAGAGAGAGAGAGAGAGAGAGAGAGAGAGAGAGAGAGAGAGAGAGAGAGAGAGAGAGAGAGAGAGAGAGAGAGAGAGAGAGAGAGAGAGAGAGAGAGAGAGAGAGAGAGAGAGAGAGAGAGAGAGAGAGAGAGAGAGAGACAGACAGAGAGAGAGAGACAGACAGAGACAGAGACAGAGAGAGAGACAGAGAGAGAGAGAGAGAGAGAGAGAGAGAGAGAGAGAGAGAGAGAGAGAGAGAGAGAGAGAGAGAGAGAGAGAGAGAGAGAGCATCCTGCATGAGGGAATCGACCAATCACAACCGAGCTTTAACCTGCTATAGGGAACTTTCCCGCCGGCGGGAGGTTTAAAAGGGTATTCCGTCTGCATCATCCCGCAACATAACACCGTGCGGCCGTAGCCATACAACACACTGTATCGCTCACGTGTTCATGTTTTTATTGCCCCATATAGTTGATGAAGCCTGAAGGTGTGTGAGGGACGCATGGCTGCCCTGGCCAGCGCACACACTTCCCATGTCACAGCAAGAGACACTGTGCAGCTTTTAAAATGGTTCTTTTTTTAAATAACATATAACTGCTGCACTCTGTATATATATCTGTGACAGCTTTAGTATGAATGTTCTGTTTTAGTTCCAGTTTTGCGTTTGGCGAAGGATTAGGCCTTACAAATAACATGAATAAGATTTGTATAGTCCTTTTATATGTTGTTCTAGATGCTACAACTCAGTCAAAATACATGAAATACAAGAGTAATTAATCCTACCCACATGACTGAAGTAACAGCAGCAGCTGTAGTTGTATTGTTGTATGCGGTGAGAATGCCGCCTTTACAGCTTTTATAGAATAGCCAGACCTGTGCACGACCGGTCTCGCCTCTGTCTTTTGTGTAGCGCCAACAGCAGCAGCAGCGCAACTAACAGACTAACACCCCCCACCCCCTTCAGGCACCGGCAGCCCCGTCAGCGACACGCGCGGTGACCACGGCCGACGGCGACGACTCCCTGGCCCTGGTCCCCGCTCGTGGACGCACAGGCAGCAGGCTCAGGCCCCACCTGCAGTCCGTCCCCCGGCAGGAGGTCGTGCCGGGGGAGACTGAGGGCGAGAGGCATCTGGCTCGTCTGGCCCATCGCTACCCCAGCCTCTCTGAACCACAGATGCTCCAGGACCACGTCGACAAAATGCGCATCCGGCTCAAGTCCCTAGCCTACTCCCTCGACCCAACCGGCCCTGTTCCGGAGATTATCCTGCCAGACCGACACAAGAAGTGAGTATCACAACTGAGTTCTTCGTTCTACTCAAGGTGCAGGCGGGGTATAAACACCTGTTATACAGTGCATACAGTGCATTCCACATATCACATAGCTGGAAACATTAGACACATTTGTAACATACCTGCCAACACCTACACAACACACTATACACCAGTATACACAACAACGAGCAGGTGTGTGTATACTCTTACACACACCTGCTCTCACCAAATACAAACCACATCGCAACATTTGCTATAAATATACAACTTATATATAATTGTATTTTATCACTAATACGTCATACAGTTCTTAACTTATTTGGAAAACAAACGAAATCTGCCCCACAGATTTTCCATCGTCACTTTCCCGGATGTTTATCCACATTTATGGCAACACTGAGATGTTTATCCACATTTATGGCAACACTGAGATGTTTATCCACATTTATGGCAACACTGAGATGTTTATCCTCATTTATGGCAACACTGAGATGTTTATCCACATTAATGGCAACACTGAGATGTTTATCCTCATTTATGGCAACACTGAGATGTTTATACCCACATTTATGGCAACACTGAGATGTTTATCCTCATTTATGGCAACACTGAGATGTTTATCCACATTTATGGCAACACTGAGAGGTTTATACCCACATTTATGACAACACTGAGAGGTTTATCCACATTTATGGCAACACTGAGATGTTTATCCACATTTATGGCAACACTGAGATGTTTATACCCTCATTTATGGCAACACTGAGATGTTTATCCTCATTTATGGCAACACTGAGATGTTTATCCACATTTATGGCAACACTGAGATGTTTATCCTCATTTATGGCAACACTGAGATGTTTATACCCACATTTATGGCAACACTGAGATGTTTATCCTCATTTATGGCAACACTGAGATGTTTATCCACATTTATGGCAACACTGAGAGGTTTATACCCACATTTATGACAACACTGAGAGGTTTATACCCACATTTATGACAACACTGAGATGTTTATCCACATTTATGGCAACACTGAGAGGTTTATCCACATTTATGGCAACACTGAGAGGTTTATACCCACATTTATGACAACACTGAGATGTTTATACCCACATTTATGACAACACTGAGATGTTTATACCCACATTTATGACAACACTGAGATGTTTATACCCACATTTATGGCAACACTGAGATGTTTATACCCACATTTATGGCAACACTGAGATGTTTATACCCACATTTATGACAACACTGAGATGTTTATACCCACATTTATGACAACACTGAGATGTTTATACCCACATTTATGGCAACACTGAGATGTTTATACCCACATTTATGGCAACACTGAGATGTTTATACCCACATTTATGGCAACACTGAGATGTTTATACCCACATTTATGGCAACACTGAGATGTTTATACCCACATTTATGGCAACACTGAGATGTTTATACCCACATTTATGGCAACACTGAGATGTTTATACCCACATTTATGGCAACACTGAGATGTTTATACCCACATTTATGGCAACACTGAGATGTTTATACCCACATTTATGGCAACACTGAGATGTTTATCCTCATTTATGGCAACACTGGGATGTTTATCCACATTTATGGCAACACTGGGATGTTTATCCACATTTATGGCAACACTGATAGGTTTATCCACATTTATGTCAACACTGAGATGTTTATCCACATTTATGGCAACACTGAGATGTTTATACCCACATTTATGGCAACACTGAGATGTTTATACCCACATTTATGGCAACACTGAGATGTTTATACCCACATTTATGGCAACACTGAGATGTTTATACCCACATTTATGGCAACACTGAGATGTTTATACCCACATTTATGGCAACACTGAGAGGTTTATCCACATTTATGGCAACACTGAGATGTTTATACCCACATTTATGGCAACACTGAGAGGTTTATCCACATTTATGGCAACACTGAGATGTTTATACCCACATTTATGGCAACACTGAGAGGTTTATACCCACATTTATGGCAACACTGAGATGTTTATACCCACATTTATGGCAACACTGAGAGGTTTATCCACATTTATGTCAACACTGAGATGTTTATACCCACATTTATGGCAACACTGAGAGGTTTATACCCACATATATGGCAACACTGAGAGGTTTATACCCACATTTATGGCAACACTGAGAGGTTTATCCACATTTATGGCAACACTGAGAGGTTTATACCCACATTTATGGCAACACTGAGAGGTTTATACCCACATTTATGGCAACACTGACAGGTTTATCCACATTTATGGCAACCCTGAGAGGTTTATCCACTTTTGTGGCAACACTGAGAGGTTTATACCCACATTTATGGCAACACTGAGAGGTTTATCCACATTTATGGCAACACTGAGAGGTTTATCCACTTTTGTGGCAACACTGAGAGGTTTATATGGGATGCAGCAGGTGTGTGGTAATGATGCAGCAGGTGTGTGGTAATGATGCAGCAGGTGTGTGGTAGTGACAGCAGGTGTGTGACAGTGACACAGCAGGTGTGTGGTAATGACAACAGGTGTGTGATAGCGACGCAGCAGGTGTGTGGTAATGATGCAGCAGGTGTGTGGTAGTTACACAGCAGGTGTATGGTAATGATGCAGTAGGTGTGTGGTAGTGACAGCAGGTGTGTGACAGTGACACAGCAGGTGTGTGGTAGTGACACAACAGGTGTGTGGTAGTGACAACAGGTGTGTGATAGCGACGCAGCAGGTGTGTGGTAGTGACACAGCAGGTGTGTGGTAGTGACAGCAGGTGTGTGATAGCGACCCAGCAGATGTGTAGTAGTGGCACATCAGGTGTGGTAGTGAGAGCATGTGTGTGATAGCGACCCAGCAGATGTGTAGTAGTGGCACATCAGGTGTGTGGTAGTTACAGCAGGTGTGGTAGTGACAGCAGGTGTGCGATAGCGACACAACAGGTGTGTGGTAGGGACACAGCAAGTATGTGGTAGTGACACAGCAGGTGTGTGTGATAGTGACACAGCAGGTGTGAGGCAGCAACACAGCAGGTGTGTGCACCAGACTATAGCAAGGATAGCAAGGTTAACTGTAGATCAGTCCGCCTCTAACAGGATACTCTCCTCCACAGGTCTGGAGCGCTGGACGACAAAAAGTACTCCTCTGGTGAGACCCTTCAGTTCCTCGTGTTCATATATACGTCATATACCTGATATATCTACCTTGATATACTGCATATATCAAGATCAAAGTGCAACTACTGTGAATGAAATATATTTTGTGTTTAAGTATTGGCATAATTCTTAAGAATGTTGTATTTAAATTTGTATCTTAAAACTATATATTTTTTGCATCCCCCAAATAATATGTTTTTCATTTTTCAGCAAATTTAATTCCTTATCTTTATTAAGTATTGCAATTTAATATAATGAACCTAACTACGTTAATCATATAAGCAGACATTTCTATTTTGGTCTCAATAATATATAAATTAAATAAGAGATGATTTTAAATACGTATCTATATTTATTTCTGTATATATTGTATAAATAATATGTATACAGCCTTGCCATATATATATATATATATATAATATATTATGCCAGTTCCCTAATATGTCTCCCCAACGACCCTATGACCGTGAGAGTGAGTGAGAGTTGTGTGAGAGTGCCGCCCTGGGCGTGTTGTGGTGTAGGTGTAGTGGGTATATAACGCTTCAGGCTGGGTACACAGGGCCCAAGCACCTGGCGTGTGTAGAGTTTGCCGGAGGGCAGCCCCAGTGGAAGAGGAAGGCCCGTGCCCGCTTCCCTCCTGATGATCCAGAGAACGTGGCCAAACTCTGCAAGGAGGAGATCAAGGA